AGTTCTTGTTTAAAAAAAAAAAAAAAGCAAACAGGATGCCGGCCAGATCCGATGCCTCACGCCGGGTTCACTGAATAAAGCTTCGTCCATACAATTGCAACGACAACACCAAAGCCTAGCATAAGTCTTGCTCTCAGCTGAAACCATCATCTGTAATGAGCTTGCAACGATGTCCCAAACTTCAAACAGAGACTCGCCACATGCCCCAAAACCATTCGAGGAATCTGAGGAAAGAGCCACGGCAGACTCCATCTCTCCAGCTAGGAGCCGATCTTCGGATTGTCGAGCCTGCGCATTCGAACACTGATGGTGTGCCCGCTTTCATCTTTGCACCCAGATTGTATTGGTTTATAAAGAAGATGATATTGCAGGTTTTGGCAAGACAGTAACTACGAGTACTACTGCGGCCCATACTCCCAACGGCGAGTCCTGAGTCTCGGTACCCCAGTTGTCCAAAGAACACATTACGACGTGCAGAGACATGCATCCACGAGAACACATGGTGCCTGCGACGGCAACATGAGGTGACCCACGGAAAGCCCGATCAGAAAGATCAAATTTATTGCTAGGGTCAGTCTAGATGCCAAAGTTAATCTGTTTGATCTCAACGTTCCGGCCTGTACGTCACCTGCGTCCTCATCCTGCTGTAGCTGCTTCAGGAGGTTCAAAGCCATGACATCCGACGACTCCTCATGAACAGCAAGTGGAAGAGCTTCTGAGGAAAAACACTTCTGCTTAGTCTAGTGCATCTGCAACACCGACCTATATTAGCAAATTCACACTTCACGTTCTTGAGCTAGCTTGCAATGCTGCAAAGGATCTCCACGGCCGCGCTGCTGACGTCGACGCCCGTCCTAGCAGCAATTCCACAGCAAAAAACATGTAGCCCATTGTCACCCATTCATAAAAATCTGCACCCCAAGCGCTGAGTACAAAAACTGCGCAAGGCATCGTATATAGGCCTTGACACCCTTCGAATCCTTGTTCAAAACACCCCGCAAAAAAACAGACACCGGACATCCACGTCATCCTGCGCATCGTTCGACCACATATACCAATCCCGTTCGGCCTCACAGTTCACGTGCGCAAAACAAGAGAGAGGCATCAATGAAAGTAAGCGCGAATAAAAAATATGCTTGCACAGTCGAAGCCTGCCATGACTCGTACGATGTGCTGGAATTTGAATCCCATGTTTTGCTCGACCACCAGGATTGCCACTCTCCATTCCCATTGCCTGTTCCAACACTCAAGATGGTGGACAAACAACCGCATATCTAACTAACCCAGAAACTGGGAGACCCCGACACTGTAGAACCTTGTAGTTTAGGTTGCAATGTCCATCCTCAGGTTTAAGCACCCGCAGGCACTTTGCAAAATAGTGCGCCTCCCCCGTATGCGTTGCTCTGCTCAGGCCACACAGCACCCGTGGCAGGCGCATTCATCGATCCATCAAACATGTTCTTACACGTGTCAATGTCAAGTTGATCCATGCTGACAGATCCTTCGCAAAGCTGAAGTACAACAAAGATGGATGTGCTTTATGCCAAGTCTGAGCTCGTCATGTAAGACGTTGAAAAAACGCATTATGTCGGCATACCATGCAAACTGACCATGTCCAATCAGCTGCTTGGACCTCCAGAACATCGCAATTCAATTCACATGCACACGCCATTCTGGCAACTTCAGGCTGCAAACGACACACGTTACAATTCCATCTCGCTGGACATGCCGGGCCACAAAAGTACCAACATGGCCTTATCGTAAGGTTGCCACAGAA